TCTTTCTTTCAATTGGAATTTCTGTAAACCTTGTGAGGAGGAGCATCCTATTTCAAATAGGGTGGGGGAAAGGAGGAATGTTTTCAAATAATGAAGGAATATTCTATACTGGTGTTTTGTCTGTTACATTAATTGGAAATAAAAGTATGCTGAAGTCAAAAAAAAAATTACTTACCCAAAGTATTGTTTTTCTTGTTGAGATGGTGATGATGACGAGATAGTGATAGTAGTATTAGGATGACTATAGTGATGATTATCTAAGAAACTGAAATGAAAGCGTTCAGTGCAAGTGCCTAGTAGGTGTTCAGTAAATGTTATTTAAAATTTAAGGTTACTTGTGTCTTTGGCTTTTTTTTAATTAAAAAAAATTTTTTTTTTAGGTAGACTAGAAAATGTTTCAGATTGTGGAAGGATACTAATGATGATGGGAAAAGTGAACTACTTTAAAAAATTAGACTCTGTCCTTCTTTTGGCAATAAATAAAATATATACATTTTCTAAAAAGTAGGGGATTACCATTTGGTCAGGTTAAGGAAAGACACCCATTAACATTTTTATTAGCCTTCATCTGGAAATTTTAATCAATATAACAAGACAAGAAAATGGTTTAAAAACTGGGAATGAGGAGGCAAACATCAATATTTGGTACCTAGAAACCTGTGACAGTCTGTGGAATAACTATCGGGACTGACACCTGTATCTCCATTCCAGATTTCTCTTCTTCTTATCGGTACATCCAGCTGCTTCTTGTACATGACCATCTGGATGTACAAGAGCTTCTCAAACTGAACATAGTTAAAACTGGACTAGTTCAAATCTGTTCCTCATTTGATGCTGAATTAAACAAACAGCACTGTTATCATCTACTTGATTGCTTGAGCCTAAGTATCACTTTCTTTCTCCTTTGCTCTGCAGATTCATACATACATACATACATACGTACGCACATACATGGAAGTGATCATATGTACATCCATCCGAAATACATTTATTGAACACCTGCTGTGTTCCAGACCTTCTTCTTGGTGCTAGGTGCTAGTTCACAGTGGTGAACAAGGTTTCTGCCCCTAAAGGCCTTACTTTCTAATGGAGGAAGAAGCAATATCAAATTTATGATATGTGAAAAGTACTTTAGAGAGGAAAAAAGGCAGAGCAATGGTGATAGGGGTTGCTGGTTGCATTAGTCTGTTTCTGTTGCTTATAACAGAAATACCCAAAATCAGGTAATTATAAAGAAACAATGTTTATTGTTGTGGAGTCTGGGAAGTCCAAAGTCCAGGGAACCCATCTGGTGAGGGCCTTGTTGTGGGTATTGACTCTTCACAGCAATGCAGGATGTCACATGTGAATATGGCAGGAGCAAGAGAGAGTAACCTCGTGCACTCCTTTTAAAACCATAGAACCACACTCGTGACCATCATTAAACCATCAGTGTATTAATCCACTCACTAAAGGCATGGTCCTCACAATCTAATCACATCTTCAAGGATCCACCTTTCAATTACCGTAACAGGATTTTGCACCCTCTTAACACTGTCACAGTGGGGGTTAAGTTTCTAATACTTGGAACTACTGGGGACACAATTCAATCCATAGCACTGAGTGAGGGGTTTGCTTTCTATATAAGGCAGTAAGGGAAGGCATTGCCAATAAGTTTTAACAGGATTATTCTGCTACATTGTGGTGAAGAGACTGTAGGTGGTCAAGCCTGGAAACACGGAGACTATTTAGAAAATAGTTGTGATCCAGGTGAGAAAAGATGTTAGCTACAAGAAGAGAAGTACTAGCCAGAGAAGTGGTTGAGGAGTGATTATTTTAGTGAATGTTTTGGAGTTAGAATAGACCAAATTTATTGACGATTTGGATGTGTTTGTGAGGGAAATAGAACAATTCCAGCTTTTTGACTTGAGCAACTGCGATAAGAGCATTTCCATTTTCTGAGATGAGGAAAACTGTTGGAAGATCAGATGTGGAGGTAGGTGTGGGTTATCTGGTTTGGGGCATGTTAAGCTGAGGTGCCCATTAGACATCCAAGTAGAGATGTTGAGAGTTAGCAGTCGGATATTCAAGTCTGGAATTAATGAGACAGATGTGGGTTGGATCAATAGTCAGCTTCCCACACTGTAGATTCTGCTTTTGGAGCTCATCCATTCTGTTCATCCCTGTTGCTGCTGATCCAGGTACCATAGGGGTGGCAAACTTCACCTCTGCACTCTCAGGGTTTCAGCTGGGTCCAAGAATTAAATTGGCATAAATAGATCAACTGGAGAAAGGCATAATACAAGTTTTATGTGGCTTGGGAGTCCTAAAGAAATAAAGACCCAAAGAAGCAGTTAGAGTCAGTTACTTACATACTGGATTGGGCAAATAGTTGTGAAGAAGCAACTAAATTATGTGGGGACACTTAAAAGTTAAGAGTTATTTTAACAAGATCTGTACAGAATTATCTCAGTTTTGGCTTCTTGTCCTTGAGGATAAGGATGTTGCATCTTTCTAGTATAGGAAGGGTGTCTTTCACATGGGAATTTCATCTTCTGCTTTTAAGAAACAGCATGAAGATCAAAGTGATCTTTTTGCATCTGCTGTCTTTTCAAGTGTCTTTAACTTAGTCAGTATGCCAAAGTGGTATACTTTTAACTCCTTCAGTACCTTATACTTTCATTTGGATTACTAAAACTCCATTCTGTATTATTTTTGCCAGTTTTTCAGTTCACCTTTAGTAGCCTGAGTTTTTCCTAAAATGCAGTTCTCTTGATGTCTCTCACATTCTTAAATCTTCAGTAGCTTCTCATTACTCTGAAAATAAAACCCAGACTTCTTAATCTGGTTTAAAAGGTCTTGAATGATCTGATACCTGATTTGTTTCTGATGTCATTTATTTCCACTCAATATTCATTGTTCTTACTATCCTCACTTTTTTGTGTGTCCTTCAAATTCTTGCACCTTTGCACCTTTACACCTTCACACCTTCAAATACTATCCTTCTTTTCCCTCACTCCAACCCCCTTCTCACCTGGCTACTTCCTTTTCCCTTTCAAGTTTTTTCTTAGATATTATTTATCTCATAAAGACTATCTATGACAATTATAGGTTAGGGTGCTCTTCTTTATTCTACTTACCAAAATCTCACTAATATATGTAGGTATTATAATTGCTATTTATTTTACAGTCACCTCTGTTGGACCTTAAATTCTTTGAGATCAGGGATGTCTCTAGCATTGTTTCTACATTGTCTAGCACAGTTACTTTTAGCTGGTGCTTAATAAATATTTCTTATTTGGATGAAAGAGTAAGTAGAGTGGCTTATTATAAAACATGCATGCAAAATTCAGCAAAGTTTCTGTGCAATGCCTAGGAGTATAATTAAGATATCCTTAGAACACCTATCACTTAACAATAAACATACAGACTGTATATGAAGAACAGTGTGTTAAGTTGAATAATTATAGACATATGTCATATTCATGATTGGAAAGTTTGAAAATTGTCAAGATGTCAGATCTCCCCGAATCTATTTATGCATGCCTTGCAATTCAAATACAATTTAAATGGATTTTCTTTCTGGAACTTTTGAATTACTCTGAAGTTCATGTGGAAAAATAAACGAGAAAAGTGTAGAAAATTTAGAAAAGGAAGAAAAATAATTTGAACAACCCATTAATAAAATATATCATAAATCTATACTGCTTAAGAAAGAGTATTAACATAAGAGTAGCATAGAGAGCAATGGAACAGAATTAGAAGCGCAGAGAAACAGACCTAGTGTATCTAGATACTAAGTATGAGGTACAAGTGTAATTTTAAAATCAGTTGAGAAAGATGCTTAATTACTCATAAAATGATACAGAAATAATTAGGTAATATTTTGAAAAACAGAAAATTTGATCCTTACTTCACACTGTTTACCAAAACATGTAATTGCAATGTTTCTTTCTGATAATAATGTAATTATCACATGCCTTGTTATATACATGATGATCTTGCAACCAGTTATAAATTCTGTGTGCTTTTTAGAGTTATTAGTGATTTTTTGTACATATCTGCTTAAGTACTTAGTCCCATTGTTCTTTGTTATCAAGATCCTAATTTTGTGAAATAACTGACTTTGATCAGAAGTGTTGTTTATGGACACAAGAGTGAGGAAAAATGACAGGATCACTTTATTGGTTATAGCTATTAACCTTGACTATCATAAGCTGTGCTGTAACAATAGGTTAATAGTTTTCTTTTTTTTTTTTAGCATGGTGTGTTTATTGTTATATACGTCTATAAAGAGTAAAGTGATTAAATGTATTTGATTTTAAAACGTTCAGGTAAAATAAGCTCAGTATCAAAGTGATTATTTTTCAAATTTTAAACAGTTTATTCTTCCAGTTTTATATGAGTTGTATTTTTAAATAAGCATAGTATATCAAACATAAAACAATCTTGTTTTTATTTAGGATTCTTAGAGCTAACTTTTTAAAAATAGATTTCTAAGTTTATTCATCTTTCTCTTTTTTAAAAAATTTTATCATCACACAATGTAAACATTTCTTGTGGCCCTTTTCCACTTTCTCCCTTAACCTCCCTTCCACCTCTCACTTTTCCACCTCTGGTGGCCTTAGTTCCATTTATAGCTAACTTCTTAACCCATCCTGAATGTAAGTATATTAATTTTTGTAATTGTGTCCCATATACTGCTCAAATGAACTAATCGTGCTTATTCTTGCACCTGATGGTAGTGATTTCCAAAGTCTACATAAATTCAGTTTTGTTTTTCCTGTTAGACCTTCAGATATTTACTCTTCATAAGTTTTTCTAGAATAGGAGCCAGCAGTGCTTATCTGAAACAGTTTAGTTCTTGGGATATCTATTTTTTTAAATTTTATTTATATGATTGTGTGATTTAGAAGATTTATATCTTTTTTAGCTCCTTTGGTAATAGAAAGTTCACATTTTGCCCTTTTCCACTTGAATACCTTACTGCTCCTAATGTAGATCTATCCTTGGTTTTACAGAGAGAAGAGAAGAGGATGATTTTGAAGAGAAGAAAGCTATTAAGAAAAAAATTAAAGAACTTAAATTTTTAGATTCTAAAATTGCCCAGAACCTTTGTAAGTATCATATTTCAATACTATCAAATTATCAAAACACACAGGAGGTGTTTCCTTTAAATTATTTCATTTTGTTTATGACTTCTTTTTATTTTATATTATTTTAATTTTATTATTTGCATAATTTAAAGAACTCATCTTTAGATAAATTATGAGATTAAGTGCTTCAAAAGATTGAAGCATATTAGAAAATAAAAATAAGAAAAGGATTTAGAATGAAATTCTATGTGCTGTAACTGAAAAGAGGACTACCCTTTTAAGTTTCTTTTTGATGTATAAAAATAAAGACTTAAGGAATTCAGATAATGAGATCATATTCTGGAAAAAAAAAAAAGAAAGAAAGAAACTGGTAGTGTATTCTTTCTTTCATACCTCTGGATCTCTATTATTTGGTTTACTTGATCACACATGAAAGAGGTTAGAATATTAATGGAAACAGGGATGATGAGTAAAATGAATTTCATTTTCCATTCTGAGCAGTTCAAAGCCTTTTCTCAAAAGTACTGACTGGAAATATTTCAGATTTGATTACTGTTAAATACTTAGTATTGAATTGTCTTCCTTACTGAATTACTGTAAGAGAATAAGACAAATACTTTTGCTCCTAACTCATGTCTAACTGCATCTTAAATGCATCAAAGATAGTTCTACTTGGAGTTACAAAAATATGATCTGTGTATATTCCTCTGATGGTATAAGAGGGATATAAATAATGTGGAGAATCTAGAGAGACAAAGACTAACATGGCTTTTGGTCTTCTCAGTTATTGCATGTCTCAAGTGAGCTTTTAGCAAGTGTTGGGACAAAACAATTCTCCAGTGAGAGGATAAAGATCCATGCTATTGGTTAAAGAGAGCGTTACATTAGGAACAATATACAAAAGGTAGAATTGACATTCCTTTCGTGAAAGTTTTGGAACCTCTTCCACTTCATACTCACTGTGACAGAGAGCCATCCCTTTTCTACAGTGTAGGCCTGCCATGATCCCCAGGGATAGTGTGGAGGCACTGAAACTATTGACCAAAATTTAATTCTCTATTTCTGGCACAAGTTGATTGCACATCCTTACCCCTTTCCACTTAGGAGTCACCATGTGATATGCTTGGGCCAATGTAAATATAAGTGGAGGTGGTGTAACTTTTGAGTGGAAGCATTTAATTGGGGGTATTAGAAGCTCCAGTGGTCTCTTTCCCTTGGCACCCATAATGCCAGTTAGAGTGGTATCCATCATCCTGAAATGAGGATCTTGATTAATAGTGCCTTGCCTTTCTGATGTGTGATGCACATGCATTCTCAATTGGAAATGATTTTTTATGTGAATAGACCACTGAGATTGTGGGGGTTGTTACATGATACGTATATTTTAGGGAATGTTCTCCCCTAAAAGAACATAGTCTCAGTTCAGAGCATTGTGTTATTAACTTAATGTTGAAAAATTCTGTACTCTGTGATCTAAAAGAGATTATTTTGTTTTGAAATGTCCATGATCTGCATTACAAATAGCTGGTCTTGACTCTAAACAACCTTGTTATGATTCCTGAAGAAATATCATTTAGAATAGAATTTTTTCTGGGTGGGTCAGCCATGATAAGTTAGCCTAAATATCCATCTCAAAGTTGAATAATTAACTTATTGAACAGGATTATGTATTTTTTTATGTATTTCAGAACGTGTTAAATAGTATTTCAAATTTAATTAAAACAGCAAATAATTATTGATTACCTTTGTGTGCTAGTTCTGTATTTGGCTTTTTAAATCTTTACTACAACCTCACCAGGTAGGTATTAGCATTGACATTTTATGTGGGGAATCTGGTGGTTGTAGCAGTTAAGTGACTTGAGTAAGGTTGCCCATTTTGAAAATAGCCACTAGGTACGGGGTATATCTATTCCTTTTTACAGATAACAAAAATCACACTGTTATCATAGAGAGGGATTCTATTTCTCTTGTTTGCCTTAGCTAGAGAATATATGAGGGTACTTCAGAAAGTTCTAGAAAAATACAATTAAAAGATAATACGAATCTTTCCATGAATGCTTTGAAGACCCCTTGTATATCCCATTTATTTAATTGAGAAATATATTTTAAACTATAAGATCAGAAGGTCCAGAATTTATACCATGTCATATTATGATGTAATCCATTTGAGGATTATTCTTACCCTCTCTTAGAGTTATGATTTAAGCTTTTAAAAGCTTTAGCAACCTCTAATCTTTACTGTAATCATAGTTTGCTTCACAGCTGGTTTCTGTCTGTGAAATTCAGTCTTGAGATTTTGAAATCTCAGAAGAGTCTTGCTAGATATTGACAATTGTTTTTGATTGAGAGATTGGAGTAAAGCAGTGGCCAGTAGTAGAATAATGACACTAAAATGGAGAGACAGACTTCTAAAGTTTATTGAAGAGAAGAATGATGGGTTTGTACTAGATAATTTCTCTTAGATTTTCTCTTTACTGAAATATTCTATGGAATTTGAGGAATGCATCTAAAAGTCACTCATTTATTTACCTATTTATTTAAATAGATTTAGACTTCTTATATTTTGAGTTCATAAAGTTTTTGGCAAATACTGGGCTCATCATTAAAGACAGAATTCCAGGCATTCTAGGATCAAGAGAAGGCTCAGGAGTTTTACAAGATTCATGTATTTTACCAGATTTTTTTTGAGTGGGTATTAGAGCTATAAAGAAAGGCACATCTACAAATTAATGTAAAGGTTTAAATATTTATAAATTTCTTTGCAGAAAACAAGCATGCCTGGTTCTGCACACTTTATACTCCTTAACTGAACCCAAAACTTCCTGTTGGGATCTATATAAACACATTTTGAAGGATAAGATGTATATGAGTAAAAAGATTCAATTTTAATGGGTCTTTTAGAGGCTTTAACTCAGTATCTCTTATGTTTTTCTCAGTAACTTTTAAATATTAAAAAAATAAAGTTTATCCTTATCTTCTAAATTGTCTATTAGGCATTAGGTCATTTTCAACTCTTCTGTAATTTTTTTGCCTTTACTTACTATAGCAAATGCTTTCCAAAAGATAACTCTATAAAAAAAAAACCCCTAGCTTGATCTTTACAGATATGCATGTTTAATAGTATATGCTATTTTAATTATAGAATAATACTTGAAAGTAGTGAACAAATGATAAATATAGGAAAATGAAAGATTATCTCCATCTGCAAAGCAGATTCTCCTATTAAAATTTTCTTTTCTCTGCCTTTTCGTGTATTGCTATTATATTTATTGTTCTGTTATTTATGTTTATCTTATTGTTTACTTACATAATTGTATAAGTGAGATCATGCAGTTTTTAATCTGTAAAGTTAGGGGACCCTCAATACCACCCTCATTTCCGATACTATTTGCAAGTTCAGGGAGCCTCAAGATTTCTCTCAAGTTTGAGGAATTTGAAAGGACTTCCAGTACTCACTAAAGCTGTTTTCCTTGTGGTTATAGTTTATTATAGCAAAATGGTAGATTAAAATCAGTTAAGGGAAAAGGTTCATGGGCTGAGTCCACAAGAGTTCTAAGCCTAAAGTTTTCAGTTCCCCTCCCAGTGGAGTTGTAGGCAGCATCAATTTCTCCCAGCAACTATAAGTGACACTATTCACAGTATTGCCAGCCTGGTGTATTAATCTGTTTATGTTGCTTATATCAGAATACCTAGAACTCTAGTTAATTTTTAAGAAAACAAAATTTATTGCTTACAGTTTTGGAGGCTGGGAAGCCCAAAGTCCAGGGAACACATCCGGTGAGGGTCTTCGTTGGTGCTGTTGGCTTTACAGCAATGCAGGGTATCTCACATGGCAGAAAATAGTGGAGCACAAAGCAGAGAGACTCTCAAACGGTGTCCTTTTAAAGCCCTCAGAACACGCCAATGTCCACTGTTATTAATCCATTCACTAGGGCATGCAAGGTCCTCAGAATATAATCACCTCTTCAAGGCTCCACCTTTCAAGTACCATAATAGGATTTCCCACCCCAAACAGTTCCAGTGGGGATTAAGCCTCTGTGACTTTGTGTGTGTGTGTGTGGGGGGGGCGGACACGACATTCAATCTACAGCACCAGGGAAGCTCCCCTGAGCATTGGTGTTCAGAGTTTTAATGGATTTGGTCATAGTTGAACCCCTGCATGACTGACCTTAGTTTCCAGCCCCCACGCCCCCCCCCCCCGAAGTCAAACTAATACTGTGTGGCCCAAAGCCCCCACCATACATCACAGTTAGTATAGGCTATCTGGTATGGACCAGTACCCCCAGGTAAGCAAAGACCCTCTAATCAGAAAGGACATTCCAAGGGCTTAGAGAGTACCTCACAAGAGCCCAGGGCAAAGGCCAGACCTCATTTGGATAAGCTTAGTTCTTTACCTCATAATATCACACTTTTCTCTCATTTATTTTCTTTTTTTATTATTCATTTTAATATTTTAGTTATATTTTAGTTATGATATATATTATACATGAGAAATTTATAAAATGCATGACATAGTTTAATAATAATAAATCAAACACCCATAGCTAAAGAAAAACATTATCTCTACCATAGAGGCTTATATATGACTCTCTCCAATTTTAAACCCCTTCGTGTGAGAAGGAACCTTATCCTGAATCTTGGATTTAAACATTTGCTTTCTTTTCCTTATAGTTTTACCAATAGTGTACATGTTCATAACCAATAAGTTTAGTTTTGACTGGTTTTGAATTTTGCGTAAATAAAACCAAACCATGTTAATGCATTCAGCTATAGAATATTTATTTTCATTATAGTGTAGTAGTACATTCTTTGGATATCACACGGTTCATTCAATGCTTGGTTGATGTTTGGATTGTTTTCAAATTTTGTTGGTGTTAAGGTATAACTTGGATAAACTATGGCCATTAGCTGAAATCCGGTCCACTGCCTGTTTTTATAACCAAAGTTTTATTGGAACATTGCCAGGACATGTACTTACATATTGTCTGTGGCTGCTTTTGTGCTACAGTAGCTGAATTGGCACTTGTTACAGAGACTGGCTGTGTGGCGACCACTGCTTTAAGTGTGTATTATTTTGTGTTTTTACCAATTTACTCTTCCACCAACAATGTTTGAGTGTTCCCATTCTACAGCCTCACCAGTGCTTGGAGTTTTACAAAGATTTAGTGTGGTTTTTTCATTTATCATGTTTGGGATTTGTTGAATCTCCTTGATCTGATGATTTGCCTTTCTATATTCCTTGAAAATTCTTAGCTTTTACTCTTCAAAGATGCTTCTTTCCTGTTCTCTTTATGATCTTCATTTGGACCTTTTATTGGACTTTTTAGGTATCTTTATTCATCTTCTATGTCTTGTAACTTAGTATTTTTCCATCTTATTTTTCTTTGTAATGGGTTTTGTATGACTTCTTTGACTGTGTCTTTCATGTCACCAATTTTGTGCTTATCGGATGTCTAATTCATTTGAGTTTTCAATTTCAATGGTTTAATTTTTTTTTATTTTTAAAAGTTCTAATTTTTCTTCTTCAAATCTTCTTGCTTCTTTTTAAAAAGGTCTTTCCCCCCTTGCTCAACATTTCAGGCTTTTCTTTTCTTAAATAATGATTTTGTTTAGGATTCTTGCCTTTCCTTCCTTTCAGGATAGCTCAGAAATGCTTGTAAGATTAAGATAAGAATATCTTCTGTAGATATTTCTAGAACATTTGTAATTTTTCCCCTCCCAGTTTCCATATTATGCCCAAAGTAATTCTTTTTAAATTTTTCTTTAGCATTATAACTCTTTCTGTATTTTTTGTTGTAACCATAGACTGTGTTTCTTGAATAGAATTTATTGTTTCTCAAAGGGTATCAATAATTTCAAGCCTTCACATTAATCTTACTAAGTTTGCAATCCAGATATGTCTTAACAATTGACCTTCTCAATTTGTTTGCTTTTGAGGTTAATATATTACATTTATCTATTTGCCATTTTTATTATTTTGATTGATTTTACATGTATTTTGCGCATTTTCATATTTGAACCTCATGGTATTCTAATTATTTTAGATGCTTGTTTATATTTGAAGAAAAAGTAACACTGTGAATTTCAAGGGAGGTTTTTTGCCCTGAGCTTCCTTGCTTTTTGAGTGCTTTGACATTCATGTGTTTATTTTATGTTGTCAGCTATAAATCTTGTCACATGTTTTTCATTGATTTTTGTGCTTAAGTTCTTCTCTAAGTAGAGAGGAGCTAACTTGTCATCTTACATTTCTCTTACTATTTTTTGTTGTTAATATTCATATTTGTTCATCATCTGCAACTTTTTTACATGATGTGAAGAATTAGATTTTACTCCCCCCCCTTTTATTCATTGGTTATTGCTTTGAGATCGATCATATAGCTGTTATATTTTTCTGCTTTCTGGTATCTACTGTGGATTTTCCCTTTTTATTTCTATAAATCTCCATCTATTACCGTATTGTTTAGATCCTTTATTCCTTTCATCTCGTTCTTGGGATATGAAGGATTATAGACATTAATAATTTCTGGCTTAATTTGTCCTGTATTTATGACTTCTTGGATTTGGAAATGTATGAATGTTACTGGTGATATGAACAAAGATGATGGCCTTGCTGTTCATCTGTAGGTGATACATGATATCCTCAAGAATCAGGAACATAGCCTGAGACCAAGAAAGAGGCACATCATGTTTTCTAAGTTGTATGAAAGACTGTGACTTTATATGGAAATACCTACAGATCAGAAGACATACAAGTTTAGTTAAAAAAATATATATATTAATGGGCTATATGTAAAGTGCTGAGTATGATCAAGAAGTGATGTCTTCTTCAACATAGAAACATAGTAATAATAAAATAAGGGGGGTACTAGCAAAATCATTGTATCTAATGCTGTGAAAATATACTTACATTTCTCAGTAGCTTTTGAGAAGATCATTATATTGTAACACTAGATATCTGGAGTATCAAGAAAAATGTAAATAATGCTTAGAATTCTCAGAAATAACATATTATCTCATCCATTTGGGTAATTTTCTATGAAAATGTGTTTTCTAAAATTGGGTATTTTAAGCTTTAGTTACATGGAAAGGCTATTTCTCTAGCATATTGTATACAATATTTCTGAATAGGGAAGTGCTATTACTTGTAAAAGTGTTAATGTACTGGTTAGCAGTTTTCTTAAAATATATATTTTTTAATATTTAGTAGGGCTGGAAGATGTTATACAAGCTGGTAATACATATGTTTAGACAAATATTACATACACATGCTGGGGTTTTATCATTCTTTTTATTACAACGTGATATTTTTATAGCGTACCTAACATATTGCAGTTTTTTTTAAATCACATGAAAACTGGCACCATTCCTATGGTAGGCAGATAACTAAGCATTTAAAAATCAACTTTGGAACCAGCATAATAATACAGGACTGTTGTTTAAACACTAGTTCTAAAGCTGGGGAAGGGTATAAAATGTGCTAATGAAAATTTCTGCCACTATAATTATATTATTTATTTTATAATTCTCTTATAATTTATTTTTGATTTTATAAATAGAACTGTATCTTAAATTCTTTTGTTACCTTATTATGAACCTTTTTTTTTTTCTCTCAGCAATCTTCCTGAGCTCTTTTCGAGTGCCATATGAGGAAATCAAAATGATGATATTGGAAGTAGATGAAACACAGTTGGCAGAGTCTATGATTCAGGTAAACAAACAGGCAGAGCTTAAATTCCAATATTTCTTTGCAAGCTTCTCATTAAATAGAAATCTGTAAGTGAAGCAAAATTCTTAACCCAAATCATTCAACTGGAAAATCATTGCTGGATAATTAGTTTTAGCATAACTTCTGCATTGCCAGGAGATAAAACTGCATCTTCTCTTAACTGCAAACTAAATATATATGCTATCAAAATGATTACATTTGAGTTATTTTAAGTGATTTTCTGAAGGCAAATTGTTTAACTTTACATTTTGTTTGTGTTACTGTTAAGACTAGTAATATGTTAAATTTGTTTCTATAGCCCTTTTAGAATGTGTTTTTCTTTGGCTTATAAAGTTGTATTAATTTTTGGTATAGAAGACTGAGGGAGTTTTCATTTAGAGTTATCCTTACTAACAATCCTTTTGTGTTGTTCTCCTGTGAGTACTAGAGATTGTTTGCATAGTATTGAAATCATTCAGAAGGCTAGAAGATTTTTTAAATGGTTTTACCCACAGTATTTTTTTTAATGAATGTTAGTGTGGTACTAAAGTTACTTGCTGAATTCTACACAGAGTATTGGTAATGTATATATCTTGGTAGAATTTATAGTTGGAGAATCAAAACACAATTATAGTGAGAGAATATCTTCAGTTTACCATCTTTTATTCTGATAATGGATATACTTAGAAAAAAGATTTTTTAGCCCTAAGAAGAAACCAAAGATTATTTGTTAATGTCAACAGTGATTAAAATTATTTTGAATTTTTTAATCCATCAATAAATGGTATTTTTGGGGCCGGCCCGTGGCTCACTCGGGAGAGTGCGGTGCTGATAACACCAAGGCCCCGGAGTCGGATCCCACATAGGGATGGCCGGTTCGCTCACTGGCTGAGCGTGGTGCTGACAACACCAAGTCAAGGGTTAAGATCCCCTTACCGGTCATCTTTAAAAAATAAATAAATAAATAAATAAATAAATGGTATTTTTGGAAGTTCCAAGTTTATATCTCCTATCTTTTCTTCCAAATATGGAGGTAATATAATCTCATTAGTGATTTGTGCTGTGAGTCTCTGAGACTCATAACTATTCAATTCACCAACTCTTTAACCATTTTTTGTCTCTAGCAGTTTCTTTTCACTGGATTTTTGTCCTCATTGTTATTGATTGTATATGTGACTTCTTGCTGAGTGAAGATTCCAAGTTTCAATTTTTCTACTTAATGCATGTTTGTATTTCTGTTTTTTTTCTTCGTGTTTGTGCATGTGCGTGTGCGTGTACGTGTGTGTGTCGCCACAGGGATCGACCACCCAGGACCCCACTCTAACCAACTGAACCAGCCAGCCTGTTTGTAGTTCTTATAATGAATTTGTTAAATATTTACAGAGTAGCCTTTTACTTGATTAAGTGAGTGTTTTGGATGATCATGTGGTTTTGTTGTCTAGATATAGAAGAAAGATGATTTGCATTAGTGTATGTCCAAATTACATTCAGTTTCATATAATTTCTTAATGTATTAGTTTTCTATTACTGTTATAACAATTTACCACAAATTTAGTGGCTTAAAATAACACAAATTTATTATCTTACATTTCTGTAGAAGTCTGGCATTGGTCCTATTGTGCTAAAGTCAACATATTGGCAGGCCTGTGTTCCTTTCTGTAGGCTCTAGGGAAGAATCCCTTGTCTTTTCCAGCTTCTCATGGCTGCCCACGTTCCTTGGCTCAGGGAGCCTTTTCCTTCATCTTTCAAGCCAGCAGTGTTGCATCTCTCTGTTCCTTTCATAGTCCTATCTCCCTCTGTATTGTCCCATCTCCCTTTTCTACTTGTAAAGACTTTTGTGGTTACATTGGGCACATGCAGATAATCACCCTAATTTAAGGTCAGCTGATAGCAACACTAGTTCCATTTGTAACCTTAATTCCCTTTGCCATGTAACCTGATATTTTCATAGGTTCTGGAGATTAGACATGGATATCTTTGGGGTTAGATGTCATTTTCTGCATACCACACATACTAAGTATAAAACCAGTTTTATGAATTTAAGACCTAAAACTTTACTTTGGAAAAATATAAGGTTTTTATATATTTATTAAAAAGAGTTTTATGTTACTTGAACTCTTATTTTTAATTTAAAAAATATGTTGCTAATTTTAATGTGAAGAACTGCCTATTTTGAATATGGCAATGAAACAGACCATTTCTTTGTAATATTCATTATTTTGGTTGGCTTTGTTCACTGTCGTAATTTTATTTTGACATATCTAGTTATTTATTCATATGTAATAAGTCAGTAGTATGTCATTTTGTATGTCATTTTCCACATCAGTCGTTACCTGTTTACCTTTGCCTCATCAATTTTTTATTAATTAATCATTTTACAAATATTTTATAGTACCCACCATGTACATCCATTGTGTTAAGTTCAATCACAGGTAGACTTCACCTTCTGAGAATTTATAGTTTGGTAAGGAAGATGACATTTACATACTTATCCAGGAAAGGACTTCAAAAAGTTCATGGAAAGATTCATATTATCTTTAATTCCACTTTTCCACAAACTTTTAGAAGTCCCCTTGTCTAATTATAATACAAGATAAGCATCTCTTTAAGATTGGTTTAGAATTAGGGAATGTATTGGGGTAGTGCTGTGTGAGTGTATGTGTGGAGGCAAAGGTTGAATAAGGTGTGGATGTAGAAAAGGGCAGAGGGATTGTATGTAAAATATATAAAGGGCAGTTATTCTGGCAGCAGTAATACCCTGAGCTGTGGAGGGAAAAGCTGAATGTGTGTGGACAGCCATGCAGAATTTAGTTTGACAGGAGCTTAAGATTTGTAAAGGCTGTGGGAAATTTGGTAAGGGGAGAGACAAAGGAAGGTTAGGCCCATACTCTTAGGAATTACGATAGCACTTTTACTGTAGAGTGTAAAAATAATGAAGTGAAAAATTAATAAATTTCTGATGAAAGATTAAATTCTAATTATATATTAAACAATATTTAAGGGGATTTGATGGTTATCTAAAAGGATGCTAAGGAAATTAACAGGCCTGATGTAATAAGTAGCTCAGAAAAACCAGCTGTCAACTAGAAGGGTTAAAAGAAAATACAAATAACCAGGTCTTTGGTCTCGGGCAGTTCTGCTAGGAGAAATCTTTTAGGAGAGAATTTCTACTAAGAGGGAAAATCATATACTTCTATTATTTTTATTCAGTTTGATAATATTAATAGTGAATACTTTTTCTAGGCATGATCATAAATTGTCACTTTTTTTTTTTTTTTTGGCCAGTTACCAAGTTTTTTTCCAAAGTACACAGTGATTCAATAACTTGTTCTTTAATCTTACTATTTTTTTTTTTTTTTAAAGATGACCGGTAAGGGGATCTTAACCCTTGACTTGGTACTGTCAGCACCACGCTCACCCAGTGAGCTAACCGGCCATCCGTGTATGGGATCCGAACCCGGGGCCTTGGTGTTATCAGCACCGCACTCTCCCGAGTGAGCCACGGGCCGGCCCTAATCTTACTATTTTTGATATATAACATTATCTAAAACTATTTTTAACTAATGAAACTTTTGGAAGTTTTTTTTTTTTTCCTTCATAAATATATATAGCATGATATAAGCTTAATTGTAATTTGTGCTTGACATTGTGGCTGTACAGAATTTACTGATTTATGATTTGGAACTGTGACCACCTACCACTTTTTTTTTCTTAATTGTAATATCAATACACTAACTTATAACACTATTATAGTTAATTATATTTTAATACAGAGGATGTATATAGACTTTGTCCAAGGGATTGTATCATCATTTAAGTTCTCTCAGGAAAGCATAATTATGTGTATTCCCTTGATCTTTCTTCAAGTGGTTCTTTGGTTTAAGTGTGTGACTTGGGAAAGCTGTGCATGGACAGAGGAGCCAGAGCAGCCAAGGAAACCAACCTGTGGTTTCTGGACTGCAGATGATGTGGCAAAGGTCCTTATAGCCACCGGCACTTAAGTTTCTACAGGATCTCTTTGTATGCTTTTTATCTGCAAGGTATATATCATCCTGTGTCTTCCGTGCCTATTTAAATTTTCTTTCACATCAGAAAAGTTACTTTGTTTTAGAGATATCTTCAGTTGTTATTATTAAAACCATAATCCTAGTGGTTAAGTCTTACAAACACTGACATTAAAACCTCCTTGATTTCTTTTGTCTTCTTTCCCTTACCTTTTAGTAACAATATGATGATTTCTTTTATCCCTCTGAGTGAAGTTTTAAAATATGTTTGGCTTTGCTTGAAATTTCTGACACTTAATTCCCTAAAGCTGAAATATAATGGACACATTTATACAGGTGAGAAAGCTGTTCATTGGTATAGGTTGAGTTCTTCTTTCTCATTTATATAGCTAATCAAATAAACATTCAGTAGTGCTTGATTTGAATATATAATAACTCTGAGATAGAGAAAAGGAAAATTGGCTGTTTTCGAAATGTAGAGAATGTTGCTTAAGGCTTAGTATAATAGAGGTTACCTAGAAATAAAACTAAAGATTAAGTTCACTAGTTTCCTTTCCACAGTTTACTAATTTTCCTAAAATCTGACAGGTACATTTTGTGAAGATATTTTCTTTTGGTTTTAATTTTTAGAACTTAATAAAGCATCTTCCCGATCAAGAGCAATTAAATTTATTGTCTCGGTACAAGAATGACTATAACAATTTATGTGAACCTGAGCAGTTTGCTGTTGTGGTAAGTACTGAATCTCAGTGTTAATTCTCTCTTGAGGGGATTTATACTGTGTGAAATAGGAGAAAGAAAATTCAAGCTTTTTCATGTATTATTACTTACATTTAATCTTGCTTTTTTTAAATGGAAGGATATTTGTGAGAAATTATCTTGATTTAAAATATATATTGAAAGTCTTGCCTTAAATGAAGTCTAAGGGTTTTTCAAAAGTGTATATATAATTTTTTATGTTCTTTATTTAATGTCAAAATGTAAAATGAAAACTGCCCTTCTTCTGAATAGAGAGTATATTTGTGATTTTTCCTAGATCTGTATATTGTAGCATATTAAAAAAATAGCTTCATTTTCTCATTGTAATCACTCACTTAAGTTCATCTCATGGTTTAGACTCTGAAATTAGAAATACAGTCTCTGTCTTGGCAGTGAGGGTGAAAAATGAATTCATTTAGAAAAATCTTTGAGGCACCTTGATAATCATCTTGTCCTATTTTATGGAAGCTGGGGTATAAAGAGGTGAAAAGACTTGCCAATGGTATCTATTAGCTGTATTGCAACTTAAAATTAAGATTTTTATTAAGCATTCTCTCCCCTGCTTTTTTATCCTATCATTAAATTATTTTTAGGTTTGTTACACTCAGTTATCATAACAATACTTTAAACTAGTGTTTTTTAAAAAAATAAGATTTTCCCCCCCTTTCATCTTCAGTTATCTTACCAACCTCCAGAATCTAGATGAAATTGTATTTGTTATAATTTTGAAAATTCAGGTTGGGTAGCTTAACAACTAAATCTGCACACTGTTTTTGGTTTATTATAGACATTTGCTCTTAAATTCCTTCCTGTCTCATCCTAAACCAACTGTTCTCAGCCACCCTACCCTTAAAGTTCAAAAAACCCCAAATAGAATATAATAGAAAAAAAAGCAGAGCTTTACTTATTCATAGTCTTATAATTTTTATTATGAAACTGTTTAACCCATTGTTTTAAAAAAAAAAAAAAAAAAAAAAACTTTTCACTTTTCTCCAGTGTATTCCTCTCTTCCTCCTGCATCCCCTTTTTTCCTCCCTTTTTTTTTTTTTTTTTTGTATTTGTTTGTTTGTATTATTTTCTGGTTACGTGGTTACCATACCTTTCTCTTGTTCTCTTTTTGCTACTCTATTTGCCATGTCTTCCATATGAGAATAGGTGAATAAGGGAGAATTCACATTAAATTTTTAAACACCAACTATTTAGAGTTTTGATTTTTGCCAATTTTTTTTTACTCTTGAATTAAAGTAATATTTAAAATTACAATTTTGAAGTATTTCCATTTACATGAAATCTGAAACACATATGAAAATGTCTATTTAACAAATAACTTTTTATGTTGCATATCATAACAGAAAAGATTTAAAACTATTCCTGTGTTCTAGTTACTCACAGAAGACTCAGCTCAAATTTGTAGGTATTTTAGGTTTATTTAAAATAGCCAAGTTATGCCCTTTTTAAAAAATCTGGGATTCATACCAAAGAACTATGATTTACAAACAATGTACTCTTAGGGGTCAGAAAATTAAAACAAATATATTCCCAGATGCCAGTGGTAGAGGTTATAGTTTTGATTTTAAGACAGAGACAGACCACTTCCCTTTTAGCACATCAGTTCAAACTTGACCTGAAATCTACACGTTCTGTGCCAAGTCATACCTGAGTGTAAATAGAATATAATTGGGAAAGAGTAATGCTGTTGAAAAATATCTCCTATGGACAGTATGAACAATGCTTTAATTATCTACTGATTACTAATATTCTTGAACACATTGTGTGGTACTAGATTTTAAAAGGTAATTGGGTGGAAAAAGGAGAATGAAACTTAAGGAAAAAAATGACATCTTTTTATGTCCTTTTTTCTTAGTCAAATAGTAATGTTATTTGATTTCATCTTTTTCCATTTCAACTTTTCACCATTCTTAATCTGGATCCCTCTACTTCTCAATAGCCTCTACCCCACCCACTCAAAAAAAAAAAAAAGAATGGAGAAACCTCCTTAAAGCTCCAAACACTCCTTATAATTAAACAAAAAAATGATGGATAGAGAGTGTGAAACAGTATGGAATGCCTGAAAATTTCTGTTCTCCTTTCTGGATTATAAACTCAATTTTAATTTTGCTAATTCATTAAAGAGTGCTGTGCTTTCAGTTTATCAGCATTGTACCAGTAATTTGGTGATCTTACAAAACTGATTAAAATTACCATGTGTGTTTCTATAAAATTCCCAAAATACTGTTTCATTTTTAAAGTAACAAACTTTTTGAAATTATGTTTGCATCAAAGATGGGCAATTAATTTGAGGTAAGCTAAACTGCAGATTTCTATAAGAATTTTATTTTGCTTTAAAAACACATTTACTTTTTGACTTAGCCTAGATTTAAAGTACTAATCATTTGTACCCACCTGAAAAATACAGAGTCACAAGAAATAATCAAAGTTTGGGGTCTTTGCCACTCCCGAATAGTGCCAAAGCTTGACTTTTCATTTATTTTTTACCATTGATAAACTTGTACTTATTTCTCTTTCATCTTCAGATTTTGTGGACTGATAGTGTGATTTCCAGCGTTTTTATTTTTTAAAAAATCAGTTAAAACTCTACAATTGTATTACTTGCTAGCCAGTTTAACTTTCTCTTTTATCAAATTTTGTAAACTTACTAATTTGATTCATATTAATGAGTTACATATTTAAAGAATTTACATAATTGGATGAAAAAATTACAAATTTCTCAGAAGGTGTGTTCTATTTAAACACAAACCTTGCCTCTTCATCAAATGGTTCTGGGAAAACGATATCCATACATATAAGAATGAAACTAGACCCCATACCTTTCACCATATACTAAAAATCAATTCAAAATGGATTAAAGACTTAAATATAAGACCAGAAACTATAAAACTCCTAGAAGAAAACATAGGGGAAACATGAAGTAGGGCTGGGCAACGATTTTATGAATAAGACCCCCAAAGCACAGGCAACAAAAGAAAAAATAAACAAATGGAATTGTTTCAAACTAAAAAGTTTCTGCACAGCAAAAGAAACAATTAACAGAGCAAAAAGAGAGCCTACAAAATGGGAGAGAATGTTTTCAAAATATGCATCTGACAAGGGATTAATATCCAGAATATACAAGGAACTCAAACAACTTAACAGTAAGAAAACAACTAATCTGATAAAAAAAAAAAAAATGGACAAAGGAGCTAAACAGACATTTCTCAAAGGAAGATATACAAATGGCCAAAAGACACCTGGAAAAGTGCTCAACATAGCTAAGCATCAGGGAAATGCAAATCAAAACCACACTGAGATACCATTTCAGTCCAGTTAGACTGGCTATTATCAAAAAGAGGGAAAATAACAAATGCTGGCGAGGATGTGGAGAAAGGGGAACCCTTCTACACCGTTGGTGGGGCTGTTAATTAGTGTAGCCAGTATGGAAAATAGTATGGAGGTTCCTCAAACAACTACAGATAGAACTGTCATACAATCCAGCAAACCCACTGCTGGGTACATACCCAAAGGAGTGGAAAGCATCATGTCGAAGGGACACCTGCACTCCGATGTTTATTGCAGCTCTATTTACAATGGCTAAGAGTTGGAACCAACCTAAATGTCTGTTGACAGATTAGTGGCTAAGGAAAATGTGGTATATATAACCAATGGAATACTACTCAGCCATAAAAAGAGTGAAATTCTGCCATTTGCAGCAACATAGATAAGCTTAACGAAAATTATGTTAAATGAAATAAGCCAGACACAGAAGAGAAATATTGCAAGTCCTCTCTCATAAACGGGAGCTACAAAAAGAAAGAAAGATACAACAATCACAATAATTTGTTGAACTTTAAAAAGGAGAAAATTGAAGTGATGCTACCAGAGGTGGGAAAAGGGGAGGAAGGTTAGTGAGAAATTGGTAAAGGGCCACAAAAAATGATTACATTGTGTAATGATGAGTATAGTAATTATCCTAATTTAAGCACCAAATATTGCACACATGTATTGATATTCATCGTTGTACCCCACAGATGTGTACTATCAATTACGTTTCAATAAAAAAAAAAAAACATAAATCCAAACTTGAGGCAATGGATAAATTCACTGAAGTTGTTTGCATTATATAATCAACTTTAAATCTCCACAAGAATTATGTAAAAAAATAGACAAGATGCAGCTCTACCAGAACATTGGTGCTCATTTACGTTATTTTCTCTTTGACAGAAAGGCATTGTGCAAAATAACACATCCAAAATGTTAGTGACCAATGTGAATTAAAGACCAGTTCATATGTATCAGAAATAATATGTAAATTGGAAATATGTTTTACTTTTATTATGTTATTAGTTACATACAACTTTCTAGGGTTCTATGTTCTGTAGAGTATGTTATACAAATTTACTATCAGAAATATTATGTCAATACCTGTTAAATTGTATGTCCTTGAAGCTTTCTTCCAACTATTTGATATATCTACATTTTCTCCAGGTTTTCTGTAATGCAGAGTTTTATATCCACATTTATTTATTTCTCCTTTGAAATTGGAAGCAAAGTTCTTTAATGCTGATACTACCTCTCTTCCTAATTGAAATAGTCTTAAATGCATATGTAGTAGACATGGATACTTTTATAGTACTAAGACTTTGGTCATTCATCTGTTATTTTTAGTAATTCAGAATCTTTTTTTTGTCCTTTTTGAGACCGGCCGCACCGCACTCAGCCAGTGAGCGCACCGGCCATCCCTATATAGGATCCGAACCCGCGGCGGGAGCGCTGCTGTGCTCCCAGCGCAGCACTCTCCCCAGTGCGCCACGGGAAAGTGCCTTTCTGAGCTGATTCTGCTTGTGGTCCTTATGACAGGACGTGAGCCCATTTGAGCAGGACAGCTCTCAAGGTATTCTGGAACTGACCCATCCATGTGTATCATGTTGTAGTGGTAGTGACATGGTGGTGGTAGGTGGACTGCTACCTCTTAGAAT